GGCGTTACTGTTATATTTCCGAGATTTAGTTTAGCTCTGCGCCGCTGCGCGCTGATAGTCTTACGCAGCGGATAAAGAATACTGTACCGTAGTTCTGCTTTCAGTGGTCAAAATAGGTGGTTGCCGAAGACAATGTTGCCAGAACTACGGATTAATCCGTGGATTTCCAGATTTTGGGTACAGTACGTTAATAATACCGATTTTCTGTCATAAAACAATTTAATAGAATACGATATGATTAAACAAAGAACGGTGTTAGAGTTGGCTTGGACATGAAGATCTCTGTTATTTCATATGTAAAATATTATGGTAAACGTCAGTAGTCGTCATTTCCAAATTCACTAAACGAATTTTTTCTGTATAAAAGAAATTTTATTTTTGTTGTTTATTCTATATTTAACACAAATAAATTCTCAATACATAAAGGCGGATTTTTCATCCCAAGATATGTTCGTCAAAAAAAAACGTATTATAGATATTACACATTTTATGTCGCTTTCAGTCCTACACTGTCTTCGATATGCCTTCGCTAGCCGAATTAGAGAAAATGAGTGTTTTATGCGTTGGCCGTAGAACGAGTAGAGGCTCCACCGTACAGCACTTGAAACGCAAGGGGAAATCAAATCAGACTTGTCGCGAACTTGCCCACTAGGTTGTGTGTCTTCCCAATTCTTTCAATCAATACAAGAACCAAATAATATGGCTTAATATTATCCTTATACGGTACATATATAAGAAATATCTCTTGTGTAAAATTTGTAGAAACAGTTATATATTCGCTTTAATATCCCAAATAAAACATCCGTATCTGAAATACTTTTAGACGAAACATTAAAACACTAACAAATACATGTAAACATTAAATACCTACTTTAAAAATATTCTATAAAGATTTCTCTATAAAAACAATTTCCTTTTTAAATTGTATAAAATATGTAGATATATCTTTATTATGGATATGAGCCTAATCTATTTTAAGAAATTTATCATAAATATTAAAGATATTTATATTTCTTCACAATTATTTTATTACTTTTCACTGTTAACCTTTATCAAATTAATTTGATTCAAGTTATAAGAAAAAATATTACGTTCAAGTTTATATTGCAAGATATATAAAATACTAAGGTATATATTACAATGACTTGTACGACAAATTTTTAAATTATCAATATTTTCTTAATTTACTAATATTAAGATGTCAATTATTTGTACACAAATATACATACTAAAACCATACAAATTTTAACCTTCTCAGTCTTCGAAATATCCTAAAACACTAACTTACTTCCGTTTCGTTTTAATAACAGTAACCACAAAATATCTCTTTAATCTGAAAACTAGGATATGACCACATATGTAGAAATCTTTCAACATACATATGTGGGATATGACAACAATAATTTTCATTTATATAAATATCCAACAACGGCTAGTTTTCACGTACTCTAACAGCTAAAAACACTTTGATAAACTGAAGGAAAACATTAAAAATATAGTAAATAGAAAACATTGTTCTCAAACTCTAATATATGGCACATCTAATTTCTAGTTTGAATTATAGTTATAACTTAACAATTTTAAATTAATTTTAGGTAATTATAGAATAGAAAATAAACTCACCGGCAAAAAAAACCGGCCACGAAAAACCAGTCCCAATTTTAAAGTTGGATTTCTCGCAAACCACTCATTAGATTTTTATGATTTTTTTTTACAAAATGTAAATTAATTCCTTCTTAACGGATACTACGTCAGAAATTTTTATTCCGAATTTATTTTGAGCATATACAGGGCACAACAATAGCAGCAGCTGTAGTAGCTATTGCTAAATCAAAATACATTGTAGCCTCATCTTTTGTGAGCATTTTGTTTTTTTAATCACATTATCTTTATTTGTATTGAAGATACGCTGGCTTTAAAACGAACGTCTCGGAAAAATGCGTCGCAGGCAGTAAGTTTTATGTGTAAATAATCAAGGCAACGGTTAAACTGTCTAATTAAAAAATGCCATTATCTGTGACGGATGTTGCTCGTATTGTGGCTTTAATTAAAGATGGCCGAAGTCAACGTTGTGTCCGATACCCTGGGTATACCTCGAACAACAGTCCAGAATGCCTGGAATCGGCATATGGAAACGGGAAATTCCATCAGTCAAATGGGCTCCAGAAGAAAACGGAAGACAAATGCAATTGACGACCGCTTTATACTGCTGTCCTGAATACTTTACGAAATCGGAGAATTACAGCGTTTCAGAATCAACATCTGCTACATGTCGTGCGGAGAACTCAAGTCAGTGAGAGAACAATCCGACGAAGACTAAAAGAAAACAGCTTGTCTGCAAGGAGACCTGCCACAGGACCCCAGCTACTTGCAAGATATCGTCTACAACGTCTTCAGTTTGCGCGTTTACATGTGAATTGGGATATTGAGCAATGGACTAGAGTCCTTTACACGGATGAATCGCGGTTTTGCTTGCGAAGCATTTTTCCGAGACGTTCGTTTTAAAACAGCGTATCTCTAATACAAACAGAGATAATGTCGTGATTAAAAAAAATGCTCACAAAAGATGAGGCTACAATGTGATTTGATTTAACAATAGCTACGACAGCTGCTGCACCCTACAGGGTATTACAAAGTTCGGGCAAAAAACTTCGTCTTATAGTTGTGCCCTCTATATGCTCAAAATAAATTCGGAATAAAAATTTCTGACGTAGCATCCGTTAAGAAAGAACTAATTTACAATTTAAAAAAATCATCAAGATCTAGTGAGTGGTTTGCGAGAAATCCAACTTTGAAATTGAGACGACTAGGTTTTAGTGGCCAGTTTTTTTTGCTGGTAAGTGTACTTCCATAATTAACTATAACCTTTTCTTTGATATGTATTATGCATACAGTGTGTCTCTTAAATAAATGCAAGTACTTTAAAGATCTGGATAATAAAATCACATTCCCCATATTTAAAATAAATTAAAAATAGACGAGTTACTTAACTCTGAAACTTTAAGAACCGCCATGAGCTGGCTGTCAGTCAACGCCCAGCTTATTCTACGCCCTGTGTTGTCACATGGACAAGAATGTTTACAATAAACTTTAAAACAACTTGCCAAACTCCAATGCTCTACATTTTTAGTTGGTGCTAGGGAGTAGCTAACGCCAATTAAAAAACTAAAACATTAAAAGTAAACTAGCTATTATCAAACAATAGAATTAAAAGAAAACCATTTACAGCGTTAAAAAAGATAGAGGTGGTAAATTGATATTATAGTTACCGTTTTTTTTTCTGTTTTACCTAAAATAATAAAAGAAATATCTGCGGTGAACCTGTATCACTAAAAAGCTTATTAAAAATACCAAGAAAATGTAAAATTGTAAATCTTTGTGCAAAATAAAATCATATAGCTCTCTGTCTGAGGTCAAAATATACTAGTAATTATAATACTTACACTTATTTAAGAGCCACCACACATAAAAGAAATATTCAAAACAACCCGTTCAAAAAAAGTGATGAAAAAAAACAAAACCAAAAAAAAATTTGTTCTGGAGTGTAACAGGACTAAATTTAGAAAGAAGTCAAGATATAAAGTATAGTAAGTGAAAATATGCTAAAATAATAAAATATACAAACATTTATTATTCTTATTCAATCGTTAGAAATGGAAACAAGAAACTGTAGCTAGCCGATTAAGACCCCTCAATTTGATACAAAATTCTCATTATTAAGTCTTGAAAAGATAAAAAGATATACAAATAAAGATGTCAAAGTTTTTATTTAATTTAAGGATAAATAGGGGGCCCAAATTTATTTCAAATTTACCGAATTTTTTTGAATCACTCTGTAACTATACCTCATAGTTCATGAATTATCGCTTGTGAAATTTCTTTAATTTCGACAGTGGCTGACTGACTGACAGAACATCAAAGTTCAAGGTACTTCTAGAAGACTTAGACTTATAATGGAAAGAAAAAATTAAAAATCTTGAAATATCCTTATAGATTAAAAGTTATATATGTCTATGTTATATTTGTATATGAATGTAACAACAATTCAGGTTTATGAATTATCGCTAGTCGAACTTATTTAATATTATTTTGACAGATATATTACCCCAAAAAAAATTAGGATGACCCACAAAAAGAAATGAAATCCCATCAAAAACACAGAATGTAAAAAAATGCCAAGTCACGCAACGCAACTCTTCCCCTACTTACCAGTGAAAGAATTGCATTGGAAGACCTGGCATCAAATTTGCACCGCACAATAATTATAAAAGAAGAATCTACCATTTAGATTAATAATTAAATCTATATCAGTGCATTTGAGAATAAAGTTTTTTTAATAATAATAATAGCTCCCGTATATAGCGTTTAACGCCTTGGGAGTAGCAAGGTACAGCTTGCCATGCTAGAGCCGTTCGGTATAAAAGGAAGGTAATGTGGCTAGCACTACGCTTCAACCGCCTATTATTACCTCAGGATTGTGAATCCCAGGTACTCGTTTAAGACTGAGTCGTACGGTATTAGGTAACCAATCCATTTTTATTTTAATAAAAATAGTCGGCTGATGAAATGCCTTGAGATTGATAGACGAGAGCCTGTACCTCTATACCACCGGGCACCTTATAAAGTTTTTTTAATTAGTAGAATATCATATCGTGCAATTGCCAAGTCGTTATAATCATTTCAGAAATAAAGATGTCTAATATTCATAACAACAATTTATAACAAAACTCTTGAATACGTGCTTCAAGAGAAACTATTTTACATGAGATCTAGCGGAAGAATTGCGTTTGCGCGATTTGGCATTTTTTACACTCTATGTCTTTGATGGAATAGTACTCAAATGATAATTAAGGAACAATTCACACTGGTACAACTAGAGTAAAAATAATTGTATACCATTATGTCAAGAATTAAAATAAGTCAAATACATTCACTTTTTATATGCCTAGCTCTGCTACACTCCATAAATTAATTTAGAACCAGTAACTAAAGAAACCAAACTCCTTCTACCTCCTCTTTATTAAAAGTAAAAATATATACAACAAATAAAAAAATAAAATTATGACAAGTGTGCATACAGAAATGTCCAGACACAACCTTTATACTTTTCTTAGTCACGTTTAAAAAATATATCTCTGAAATTTAATTCAGGCCCGTAGGACCTAAACGATTCTATGTTAGAAAATTTTACATTAAAAAAAACATTTACAAGTTCAAAATGTTATGTATAAATCAACAATACAATATAATATTACTTAACTATCCTTTTCATTCCAAAAACTTCCTTACTCTTAAAATCTTACTTGTCTATTGGCGTCAGTTTCAATTGTGTAATCTTTATGAATGTAAACTAAAATATCTCTTGAGTCAAGTTACCATAGGAGAAAAATAAAATATAGATGACTATTGGCACATCGGTAAGTGTTTAAAAACTTATAGTCGGAGGCGTAATTCGGAAGAGCAATATATAACAGTCAACCATATTATTATCCTTTAAAAGGAAGTCTCTCGTTTATAATCTAACGTCTATTTGGAAAATAAACACTATGAAATCGTCTGTTCAATGTAACTTGCCTGGCAATTGTCCGGTTCTTCAATCGTATGAACGATATCTGATAGGCAAGAGTGGTAACTAAGACACAAGCTGCATTTGCGCAGGTACACTATTGTTAGCGATGCAGGTACGGTATTGATCTGTTGACAAATTCGATTCGTCTGAAATGAAAAATATTTACGTCATAAAGTGACCGCCAAAAATTTCGTAAAGCGAGACTCACACGATCAGTATTATTGACAGAACACTGGATATTGTCAGTGACCCAAAACACTTTCAGGATTGCCAAAGTATCTCAGTATACTGACAGTTCCGTCAGTATATTTTTGCCCTCTCACGGTCAATATTACTGACTTTTTTTGGAAATACTCGTCAATAATACTGATCGTGTGAGGCCCGCTTAAAAAGCCGTTAAATAGTCGGTGCCAAGAATTAGTGTCATCTGTGATACAATATTTTGAGAAAGAAAGGAACAATAACGACCCGTTGTTATCCTTCGAGGCAGTTCGAGAAGTGAGTCAAAAAAACATAAAAATAAAGAAGACCAAAAAATGTTTTAAACAATAAAAAAAAATGTTTTGTTGAAAAATATTTTTTCCAGCACTGCCTTTTTATAGATCTTAGATATTGTACAGGATGGGTCAAATTGGACGCTTTTAAAGGGAAACACCCTTTTCTATAGGAGATAGACGAAAACTAATATCGGTGTCTGGAGCTCAATTTTTATCAAAAACATGAGGGTGAAAACCGTAGATCGATATCAGTTACCGTTTCGGAGTTACGGGTTGTTTTTCAAAAATGTGCATTTTTAACAAATCGCTGTAACTTTTTTGCTATGAAAAATTTTATATTTCTATGAAAACATTTCTAAAGCACTTTTTTACGTAGAATTTAATGGTTTAAGTATAATTCTTTTAACATTAATAATTTAAGGGTTATCAACAGAAAAATTGATTTTTTATTTGGGACATCCTGTATATTTTTAATTACCTTAAATTACCTTTCCAAAAATATAGCACACTTGATATTTTGTTATAATATCCTTCGAAATACAGAATTTTTAAAAGTTTGCCACTTTTAACTAGTAGGTTTTGAATCCCTTATTGATGATCTGCCCGTAATGGAACTCGAAAACATATTTTTCCAGCAAGACGAGGCACCGCCTCAGAACGCTGAAGTTATCGGCAAATTTTTGCAGTCAATTTCGAGAATAATTAAATATGTAGCTAACCAAGATCCCAGCCGTTGGCCATCGAGGACGCCGGACTTAGTGCCTATGGATCTAATCCTATGGATATCTTTGCGGAAGAATAAAGTTTCTTATTTTTAAATTGCCCGTATAATCTAGATAAGAATTAGAAGTACTTGGCGGTTATGCGAGAGTATCTTTCACCCCTAATGAGTTAATGAATTCCGCGAGAAATATTCAATAACGGCCCCGTCTGTCCATAACAGAAGATGGTCGATATGTCGAACACCTGTAACAAATTCTCATGTCTCGGTTTGCTATTAATTTTTATTATTATTATATAGTTTAAATGTATTGATGTTGGTAAAATATAGTTTAAATTGTTATAAAATTCTGCATCTCTCATTGCAAATATTATTTTCGTTTTAATTGCTGCTCACCGCTAGAATGGTGAATTTTAATAAACTTTCTATATCTCGAAGAGGAATCGAGCATCAAGTGTGATATATTTTTGGAAAGGTAATTTTAAATTCTTTTCAATGAGTTAAAAATACACAGGGTGTCCCATTTAAAAAATCAAATTTTCGGTTGATAATTCTTAAATTATTAATTTTAAAAAAATTATACTTAAACCATTAAATTCTACATAAAAAGATGATTTGGAAATGTTTTCATAAAAATAATAAATTTTCCATAACAAAAAAGTTACAGCGATTTGTTAAAAATGCATATTTTTTAAAATACTTACTATATACTATATCTTTATAGGCCTAGTTTGACATTTAAATAGAGAAAAATAATAATTTTTAAAAATTAACAAAATATTTAAAAAAATATTTTGTTAATCATTCATAATAGTTGCAATAATCAGTAACCTGAAGTACTTACTTTCATAATTAATTTCCTCATTAATCATCATCTTCCTTTAATGGGTTTAGTGGTGATTCATTTTCGATTTTCCAATTAAGCATCGAGGCTTGATATCTGGTTTGTACCATAATACGCTCCATGACGCACGAAGCAGAAAGACGCGCTTCTGTATCGTGATCCCAGCATTCTTCCATTGTGTCGCATATTGCCTCTAAACCCTATAAACAAGAAATCGATTCTAATAAAAACAAACAAAAAGATTAACGGTTATCCAATACACAAAATTAACCAAGAAATTATTTAAATTCGAACTGTGAAAAATTACCATACACTTAGGAGGCATTTTTTTAATTTTTATAATTAAAAAAAAAACAAGTTAATTTAAATTTTCCTCATCTAAACATCATGATGAAGACCGATAGCCAATATCAAAAAGGAAGTTTCAATATCTAAAGTGGTCTTTGAGTTATCTCGTGTTATGTGTTAAAAAGTAGAGTTATGAAATTACCAATTCTTATTATTATTATATTACTATATATAATATAGATATTCTTATAACATCCTAATGATATTCTTATCTCAATTCAGATGCCCAGAAACATATCTAATGATTTTATCAAGTTATCCTTCAAAAAAAACCTTGTAGAAATAACCGTCTTTTGACAGTAAGTTTACTCCAGTAGACAAGGAAAAGCGTATCTGTGTCACCGATAAATGTGGCAACGCTGCAATAGCACACCGTAGCATTTTTCTCTCTCCGGCTTTTAGATCCCCAAGAGATTCACTTCCACACTTGTATACAGGTTGTTAACTCGACAGTTACTTATAGGGGAACAGAATGGCAACACTGCCTATTGAGAACGCATGCATTATTGATTTTTTTGCCGACTCGTCCCGTCGCGTCGTCTATCGACGAGCGGGTCGAGGTTGCCATATTTCAACCATAAAGCTCATGCCGCGAGTGATGAACAAATTAACAACCTGTATACCAACCCATAACTTGCCAACGCGATATACAGGATTGGTAACTTGATATCTAGGCATAGGAATTACATGCATTGGAATGAAACGCCTATAAAAAGTAAAAAAAAACGCTTATAAAAGTAAAGCTTAACAGAGATGGACAACAACTTCCCCGTTTCCACTTCGACTACGACTGTCGAGTTAGACAAACTCCAATAAGACAACAAATTTTGGAAATAGGCCCGCCTCTGCCCATCTACCTGCCCTTTATCGCCATTAATATTATTTCTCTCTCCGCGCCTCCGCGTCGCGCCAGCGCCTCAGTCCATCACAGAGTTGCCAGGTCTACCGCTTTCGTCTGTAAGCTACCGATCTACCGATTTAAACAAAAGTCTAGCGATATGTTCAACTGCGTCTTTAGTCTTTACAATAAAAGCACTTAAAAATTTGACACATTTGGACTAAAACTTAAGCGACTATCGCGTCGTAAACACTTCGCAGAATTACGGAGACATTCTCAAAAATTCTTATTATCCTTGATTATGTGCTGTATTGCCAGAATTTCCTAAGATGATATATTTAGAAAATATTTTGTCTCATTCATTTACTAAAATTGAACCCACATTTCTCCCCCAAAAAAATAAACAAAGAACAAAATCTAAGTTAAAAAACAAAGTAAATATGGACAAATATTAGTGTGCTTCTTCTGTCTAAAAAGTATATTAATAAAAAGAGAGTTGAGAGTTAACAGCTATGTTAACAGATATGAGTTAACCAACTTTGTACAAAGGCAAAAAGTGACTGATACCCCTACTTGTTAGTTTTAAATGTTTTTATTAATATATTAATATTATTTAAGTTAATAAGATTTTTTGATATTAATTCATATTATACCTAGCTATTTCTAATATTTGTTTATTGACTATTGACCTCGTGGACTCTGTGAAATTCTTAGGACTTGTTGTAGACAACTCGTTAAAATGGGACTTTCACATCGAAGCTCTATCAAAGAAACTAAGCGCTGTCTGTTTTGCGCTAAGATCAGTTTCTAAGGAACTTAACTTCTCAACCTCTAGAATAGCCTATTATGCCCTTTTTGAGTCACATCTTCGTCATGCCCTTCCGTTCTGGGGTACTTGCTGCGCAACCAAATTTGATCGTATTTTCAGACTTCAAGATAGCCGTTCGATATTTATTGGGACTGAACAGTAGAACTCACTGCCAGAATTTCTTTAAAAATTTCAAAATACTGACTCTTCCTTCTTTATTCATTTTTTAATCCGTTTGCTTAATCCGCAAGCACATATCTGCTATTCCCGAAAGGCCATCTCATAACTATCCACTTAGGAATGCGGAGCACGATCTTTATCTGCCAACCCCGAGCTCAGAACTAGTTAAAGGTTCAATACTGTACAATGGCAAAAAAATGTACAATCATCTGCCTTTGAATATCAAGTCGCTTTCATTCTTTCCCGCATTTAAAATCATACTTACTGGAGAGACGGTAAACGACTTTTTTGTTGATGTTTAATTATGAACAATTTTGATCATCTCACACACTGGTCAAAGGTTAAGTATTTAATATTTTATAACTCTAAAATTATATCTATTTACTGCGTACAGTTCTGCAATTGTCCATGTACATTCTTTTTGTTATTTTAATGACTTTTTTTGAATTGTATTATTTGTATTGTGTATTTTTTGTTGTTTGTATTTTTTTTGTGCTTTTGTTTGTTTTGTGAGTGCTTTGTCGATGAAGCCGTTTTGGTTTTTGTACAATAAAGCGTTGTTTTGTTTTGTTGTTAGGGAAGAAATATATTTACTATCTAACAAAGCTGGCAACCCTGTTCTGCCACTCATTACTAAGTTTTTTTCCGGAATTTTTTCTTTTGTCGAAGTTTCACAGTCTACGCGAATGAGACGCCTGTGGTCGCGCCCCCTCTCACAGAAGCGATCTTCTCACTCATCGTGTCACTTCTTCTAATCAGTGGAAGGGAAAACAGAGTTATCTGTCTTTGTTACATTGCAGGGTAGACTGCAGTCGTGTCATCTTTTTTTATCGCATTGAGAATCTCCTATTACTAACAGTAGCTTTGCCAAACGTGTATGTATTAGTATTAGCACAGATTAGGTATACTATATGTATACAGATAAAAATCTTATCCCTAATTCGTGGTAAGAAAATTGTTTTTTATGACGACGAGCAAACAAGTAAAATTTCCTGTGGGCAAAAATAAACTCGCGTTTAAACAGCGTAATAAATGGGCTGGTCAGGCGTTGTGCACAATTTTAGAGGCCATAAATGGGCGTGTTATGTGTGCAAACTAGTAACCTAACTAGTGTGCGACTCCGAAAATTGGAACCACGAAAAACAATGCTTTTCACGATAAGTTTATAATCTGTGGTATTAGTACAGTACATCTATCCGTTCTGTAGCTACGGGGCATCCGTAAGGGGGGAAACAATATTCTCTAGATGTTTCTCATACAAAATTAGACGACGCGACGCGTCCCATCAATAAAAATTCGACAAATTTGCAAGTAGCCAATGAAATGAGTGTTTTGCGAGGCGTACTCGTCAATTCCACGTGGTGACGTACTCGTCAATTCCTCCCGCTTCTATTTGGGTAGCGTTTTATAAAATATATTGCTGTTTATTTAAATGTTTTTTGTCCGCATTCCTCTCATAGACACAGATCCAGTAGACGCACTTTATACATAGTGGTAATTTGTAATGAAGTCAAAATAGTACAAAAAATAAATTTTATTAATTCATAAAATATCCTACTTACCGGATGATTTCTCCAATGTTCCTGTATACGCGGCCTGACTTTATTCTGTACCACGCTTTCTTGCATATCTTCCAATGTTGGATGGGGTCCAACTTCCTCTTCAAATGGCAGACGATATTCTGGGATGGGACCATCTTGAGCCTTTAGCAAAAAAAAATGGCGCATCAATACAAATTGATACAATTAAAATTGCCGATTTTGCATACCTTACACCTAGAAACCAATTCCCAAAGAACAAGACCGCAAGCGTACATGTCAATCCTCAAGAAGGCGTCTGGCGTGAAATTGATAGCACCTTCTAATACTTCGGGCGCCATATATCTTTGAAAAAATATATAAATTTATTTAATATTTTAAAAGTAAAAAGTATAGAATAATAAAATAGTTTTTATAATTTAGAGATACCAAACTTTACAAACCTATCATTAAAGAATTATTACTTTCTCAAAAACGAAAACCTATAGAATAATAAAATTTAATATACCGGGAGCGTCTCAAAAGTAGCTAACCTTTGGAAAAAATAACTTTTTTATATTTTTCAGATAAAAAAACGAGATTTGGTGTATGCTAGTATATAACATAAATTAGGATTAATTATTAATTAACGTATTCAATTGTTTTTGGTCACTACCTACCTGTTTCATCGGAAATGACTACAAGTTTTAATTTTTAAATGACACCGTCGGTATTTTTTACTTTATTCGATAGAAAAGTACACTCTGAATAGAATGACATACCATATGTCAATTGTTTATCATATCAACTTTTGATATTTTCAGATATGGTTTATTTGAAATTTTAACATGCTGTTCATAACGACAATTTGGCTCAAAATATCAAAATGCTTTTTCCAAATATGCTAATGAGCCACTCTTGTTCCATTTGAAAAATTGAGATATGATTGAAAATGTGATTTGATTTTTAACTCTCCAGGACAAGACACGAAAAAATTTAGGCAAACAAATCTATTTTTCCAAAGCTCCTTGATTAAAAATTAGTGTTTTTAATCAATTGTATTTTAAATTTCAATCACTCTAGATTGAAATTTAAAATACGAATTTTCTTAAGTGAAAATTAAAAGTTCAAATATTATATGTGATTCTATTCAGAGTGTCATTTTCTATTGAATAAAGTAAAAAAATACCGAGAGTGTAATTTAAAAATCAAAAGTTGTAGTCATTTCCGGTGAAACAAGAAATGACAAAAATCAATTGAACACGTCAATCAATACTAATTTATGTCATATACTAACATACCAAATCCCGTTTTTTTATCTGAAAAAAAAAATAGAAAAGTTATAGGGGTGGGCCACTTTTGAGACGCACTCGGTATAATTTCTTAAAACTTAATACACTCGGTATAGTTTCTTGAAAAATCAAATATTGAAATGTTTTAACCAAATGGTCCGATTTTTGTTATATCTTTAAAATTAAAATTTTGTTATTAAGGCAAACTATATCTATAAATTAATTTACCCCAAAATATGTATAAAAAATATTTAAAAACCAGTGTCTAGAATAGTTTCAGGTGTAAACGACACTGAAAAATATCAGAAAATATTTTTTGTCGAAAAACACTCCTTAATGGTGAAAAGACGTGTGCTAAATTTTATAAAAGTATCTGGAGTGGCTTTGAACATAGTAGAAAAAAAACGATGTTTTTCTTAAAACTTTGAGACAACCCTGTATATAAAAAACGAGGCCATTTTAGAACACATATTTATATGTTATATTATGAACTTTTTACCTAAAAAATAGAACTGGTCAGAAAATGTAAGTTTAACATACCTGCGGGTGCCAACTTGACCATGAGTGTCTCCACAAGATTTTCCAGCTTCGAATATAATAGCTAGACCGAAATCAGCAATACAAGCCGTCATGTCGTTTTTCAACAGAACATTCTTGCTTTTAAAATCGCGATGTGCAATTGCCGGCTTCGAAGGTTCGTTAGGTGTTTTTCCCGGTATCGAGTCATGTAAATGCATTAAACCTGGAAGAAACGAATATTTTTCAAAATTTAGATAGAAAGTAATTTAATAAAAAGACTAAGTTAAGAGTATATCAACCAAATTGGCAACATTGCGATAAGGTGTAATTATGCCTGAGTTAAATTTTTTGTTGCTAATCATGTTTTGTGGAGTGTTAAGGGCGAGTATACAGGGTGATTCACAGCCATGGTACGTAAAATGTTGATGGAGAAGCGGTAATAGGATTTTTTTTAAATTTGGATATTTTCATAAAGGCCCCTCCTCCATCTGTAAATTATTTTAAGCGTTAAAGTGCCGCTTCGTACTAAAAGTGGTTATCATGGCATAGTTATTATTTTAAATGGAACACCTGGCATATTATTACATTTTTCGAAATTTTCATATACCATAATTTTTCTATTATATTAATCTATATCTAAGTGTAACAGTTTTCGAGGTAAAGAAAACATTTGTGAAATTGACAATATCATGATATTGAATAAGCATTGGTTAAATCATAAATTCAGCATATTAAAAGCTGAAAGCTGAAATTTGGATTACCTGTACGTTAAGGAAAATCGACATATTCTATCTGTCTAAATAAACCAAAATAAACCGATTGGATATCAAACAGGGAGATCAAAAATAGTATATTGTTTTATTAGGAGTAAAAATGACACTTCTTTAAACACAGTCATTTTTACTCCGAATAGAACATGCTATTTTTTTCAAACGCCACAAATAGGTTTTTAAATAATTTCAAACGTGCCAAATAATAAAAGATTTAAAAGCCATAACTCGTATGTAATTATATATCGAGAAACTATGGTTATGGTCGTTAAATTTGACACTTTATGTCAGTTTAATAATATATTTTCGTACTTTTATGCTTAGGCGTAAAAGTGCTTTACTTTTATGCCTAGGCGTTAAAATTACTTTTTTATATTGTCAATCATGTCGCAAAAATAATACTTTTGTGACGTTTAAAAAAAATTATTACCAGCTTCTGGTTTTTTCTGTAAAGTAATTTAAAAGATAATCAGTCTATTATAATCTTAGTTACGTTTAAAGAAAATCGTTACCATGACAAATAGTCACACAAATATTCAAACTTTATAATATGGATCAATTATAGTACTAGAGCTAGCAACGTCGGGAAAACAAGCATTTTAAGAAAGCTGGCTCTTTAATATATCGTTCGCCTCTCTGGAACAGCATGCGGCCCGTCTGGCTACCGGTAAACGTTGCGTTCCCTACTGCGCATTGAAAGAAGATCCTATATTGTTATTAGTCCTTTAAATAGTATTGAATATAAACAGCCCGAGTTTCCATAGCTCAGCGCGTAGGGGTTCCCCCTATCAAGCGAGGAGTCAGAATTCGAGACCGGGTCAGGGCAAAAACTTTTTTATTTTATTTTCGTTTATATTCTGATAGTAAAGTATTAAATAATTCTGGTGTTTCAAAAAAAAAACAAATAGTTAATACTTTACTATCAGAATATAAACGAAAATAAAATAAAAAACTTTTTGCCCTGACCCGGTCTCGAACTCTGAATTCTCGGTTCGTAGTCGGAAACTCTACGCGCTGCGCTATGAAGACTTATTCGATTTATATTCAAAACTAGAATTTAACGGACTAAATAAAAAAATATAGAATCTACTACCGATGCGCAGTAGTGAACGCAACGGGTATCGGCTAGTATCGGCCCTCTGAGATTCCGCGGGATCGAAGTTGCGGGATTTACGCGCGGGATCCGCGGGATTGACACATTACTACTGGGTAACCGAATCGATCTCGATCAAGGTCAAACCCCTTCGTTCCGGGCCGATGAGTCGACGCTCGGAACCTGGGGGACCCGTTTAACTAGTACTTGTGGACGACTTCGTCAAATAAACTGCCGGACATAATTATCGGGAGAAGCAAAATTTTAGGGTAAATTTAAAGTTGAATATCTCTTGACCTAAAAAAGATAAAAAAAAAAGATATTTGGGATGCGGTTTGGACCAGGTTTTAGATGCATCTATTGTGATTAAGATGCTAGGTGGTTTTCGAAAATATATTTAGCGAATTCTCGTATACAGGGTGTTTTATAAGAGAGTGAAATTTTGGTCAAGAATCTTTTTTACCGCAAATTTACGAGTTTTAAAAAATCGAAATTTTTACCAAGTACGACTAATCTGCATTGAAATTAGAAAAAACAATTTGACCGGTTTTTAAATTTTTTTGTTTTAAGGAAAATTGATTTTTTTTTCGAAAAATATGCATTTTTAGTCATACGTATGGTCCTAAGTGGTACAAAAAGCTTTGTACATTCTGCATATGTCAAAAAGTTATTGATATAGAGTGTATCTAAAAGCAGATAACTAACACAAGTTAAAAAAACTTCAACATCAGAATAATATTTTTATTTATAAAATAAGTAGATAAATTATAATAAATTTTAAGTTTATTTAATATTAAATATATTTTTTGAACACCCTTTATAAATCGGTCCAAATTTCTGTACAGTTAGATTAAGATACTCGCTATATCAATATATTGTGGGCCTATGCAAAATGTACAATGCCTTTTGTACCATTTAGGACCAAATGTATGACTATTGTTTACAGTCCCGCAATTTTGCGGATCCGCGGGATTGATTGCTTTAATCCCGCGGGTTTGCGGGATTGAGATTTTGGTGCGGGATTGTATTCCCTAGTATCGGCAGCCAGATGGGCCGCATGCTGTTCGAAAAAGCATAGTACAAGATATATCAAAGAGCCAGCTTTCTTAAACTACTTTCTCGAAAACGTTGCTAGCTCTTAGACTATTAGACTTTACTTAATTTCTAAATTTCTAAAATTGTCATGGTAACGAAAGTCTTGAAATGAAACTGTAACATTAGAATTATTAATTTTTAAATATCTCTACTTGGAAAACCTGAAGGTTTAGGTATAGGAACGTGATATATCGAAGAAAAGCAATTTTAGTAGTATTTTGATTTGTTAAAAAATATGCAAGGGGTTGAATTTGAAATAACAAAGCTTTTTTTTTGCTCTCCCTGTATAATGTATCTAATCGGTTGATATAAACAGAGAGATCAAATATATCGACTTTCGTTATAACCTCAGATTATAACCCAAATGTCAACTTTAAAAATGTTCAATTCATGATTTTACCAGTGGTTATTCATTTTCATGTATTTATTAATACTTATTTTTTTTATTTTTATTTGTTATCTCGAAAACTATTAGAGATAGGTATAGATTAATACAATAGAAAAATTATGAGATATGAAAGTAGTTTCCAAAAATGTAAGAATATACTGTGTGTTTCATTTAAAATAACAAAGATAATACATAATAACAAACTTTTCAAATGATCCAGCAACACTGTAACGCTGATAATTTCAGTTAGATGAAACAGGTGCATTTATGCAAAATTTTCAAAAAGTCCCTCAGTGGTTCTCCCTTTAAGGTACCATCGCCGTGAGTCACCCTAAATAGGCGTGGTTTAAAACTAGGAGAATGTGGTCATCAAAAAGGAAATATTAAGGATAGTGGGCACTCACCTTATACCCGTTTTGGACTCTCATATCTTTTGTTCTCGTGAATTTGTAATCGCCAATGGATTTCTATAGCCCGGATGTTTATAGAGGGCATCGATCTACCCTCTCGGCAGTACTTGACCGATCTCGTTCGACACTTACCGCTGAATATGCGTACCCACTTAGGTTTTAGAGTAGATAAGGATGGGTGGGAGGGACAGGATCCAAGACAGAGTCAGTATAAAAAAAACGTTAATAACAATTAAAACTAAATAAAAAAATATGTTTTCCATAAAAATATATAGGCTTGGTCCTGCATTTCAGTTGAGTTTAAAAATTCCGACCGCAGCGCTCGTTACGGCAGAAATGAGAAGTTTTCGCTCTGAATTTCACGCAGTTCCGATGATGATCGCATTAAAATAATATTAAAATCGTGACTTTGTCATAATACTTAATTATTTTTGTTTTTAATAGTGCAGATATTGAACTATAAAACACTCAGGTACGAGGCTTGTATGATTACCGCTTCGGGCATAGTAAAAATTAAGTGAAAAATAACTTTTAATTTGGGTTATAATGAACTGGGCATCGTTTATTGTGTTGTGACCATTTCAAATGTTAATAAAACTGTTAACATGTAAAGGAGGCAAAAATGTTAATATGTAAAGGAGCGCGTAATTCCGTGCTTGATAGGTGCAATCAACTTTCCCGGATATTCAACGACAACAACATTCCTTGTTCCCGTTCCTAAACAACATTTTATAGCTTCACAACTTTACAGCGATTTGATCAAAAGCAAAAATGGATTCAAGCAGCTCGACGGAACAAGTGAGTAAACAAAGTGCCCGTTGGTTTACATAATCAAAAAATTAAACAGGCATATACTATGAGAGGATAAATTATAATTTGCAATATTAATGGTATATTAATGATTTTAAATCCGTGTATTTGTATATGTTACAGTAAAAGTCGGAAATTCAGTGATTGTTAACATTCACTAGGAAATGCTAACAATTACGCATTGGACCAGTGAATGTGGTATTTTAAAGATATTTGTCGATTTTTCCTAGTAATTTCTAACATTCATTAGTGAAAGTAACAATTACTTACATTTACTTACTAGTTGCCAGTAAAAGTTATTCTATTGCACAGGGCGAGTGTGGTGAGGAAGGATGGCGATGGAAGTTAGAACAAATCAAACTTTTAAGAATATTGGATCACCTCAATATTCAAGGTGATCCACATATCTTAAAATTACAATTTCCTTCTTTACTATATTTATTAAAAATTATAGAAAATAACGACATGGCCTTCTAAATATTAAAAGTGAAAACATAATAAACATTTTAAAGCATACAAAACAATTAAAAAAACATTCAATATTCATAAACATAAGATTACTTATTGGTACAAGGTTTTTTAATGAAGTTCTTCATCGTGGACAAAATAAACTATGCCCGAATTTTCTTGAACGGGAGTTATTCGTCTTTTCAAACCCGCTACTTCAAGCATATCAAAACGTTCATAGTCGCTAGGTTCCTTAAAATATCTTTTTCTCTTACATGCTTAACTTTGACTATGACTTCATTATATTGCAAAAATGAAAAACAAGCACTAATACTAGCGATGGGAACTATCGAATGAATTAGACTATGGAATGGTTACTGAATGAATGATTTCAACTATCGAATGGTTTTATTCGAATAAAATCATTCATTCATTTGTATACTAAAGCATATGTGACAACCTCGCCGTGCGATTAAATGGTTATCGGAGCCACGACTATCGAATGCTTTTGATAAATGAAATTTAGTATTCGTTTGATTTTTGTGTGCGTCAGTGCATTATTAGTTCTTCTAAATTTTTATAACTTCGCTTTATAAATACTGTGCTATTTTTGCGTTTATTAAAATATTTAAAATACTAAAATAGTAGTTTATTTTAATTGACGATTGTGTGCGTATGCAGGTGTCAAAATTTTTCCGAAAATTTGTGTGATTTTCCGTAGCTCGATCTTTCAATTATTTTATTTTATATGGTATATGGTCTATTTTTTAATGGGAAATTTTGAGAAGTAGCAATTTTTAAGAGAGATGAGATGAACTTGGAATTAATTTTAAAAATACATATTTGTATTTTAGATGTTTTAATAATATGAATTAGTTGAACTTAATAATCATATTTAAGTAATGTGGTTAAGTAAATGGGACTCAAACTGTGGGGTGAGAAAATTAAATGGAAAGTTTTACACGTGCCAATTTAAAAAAAAAGTTCGCGATGTTTGTATTTTGTTTATGCTAATTCTCTTACATGTAGTTTTTTGCGAAGAAATATTTCATTTATTTTTTAAAGTAAATGCCAGTAAAAGTAAATATTATTTTTAAATAGTAATATAAAGTAGGTACCTAATATAAATAATTTTGATTTCTAATTTTTTATTTATATTTTCCTTCCATTACTCTGCATGCTTAGAAAATTAATAAATGTTTATATTTCATGATTTTAAAGTTGTTGTTAATATAACAAATTAGTTCAGTAATTATTATTATTTAATAAACCAACGTTGCCAAAAAATTTAAAGACTGTATTATTTTTAAATAGGATCTAATATAAATAATTTTGACATCTAATTTGTTGTTTATATTTTGCTACTACGTAAAAAAAAATATTTATATTAAATTATTTTAAATTTTGTTGTTAATAGGTATAACAAAACTGTTATTATTATTTTTATTAAACCAGTCTGCTTAAAAACATTAAAAATCATTTTCCTACATCCAAAATAACAAGTGTTATTGCAGTGTAACAACAGAATATTAATAAAAAAAATGCAAAATATATAGACATACTATCCCTAACTAACTAAAGCCAAACAATAATATACTTTGCTAATATCAACTAATACCAATATATGGCAACAGCGCCCTTCATAATGTATTTTCTGTGTAAATACTAACACCTAAAAAAAAATAATATGTCCTTATCTTTATATGACTCCGCAAAAAATCAGATGCCGGCTTCTTTCAGCATTGCCACCGACCGCTGTCGGGTTTCTCGGAAAGAAACCTCGCCGGGCGACAACTAAAATCCAGTTAATATTTTATTATAATCGATCCTGACGAATAAATGAATTTCATATATGAATGAATTTTATAAATGAATGGTTTTTGCTGCCGAATTACTAGAATACAATATTTCAAGGCAGATGACGCATCTATTCGATAATTTTTATTCGAATAGTTTTCCACGAATGTTTTCTTACTAGCTATCGAATTATTCGAATGAATTGCAACTATCGAATGTTTCGATAGTATTCATTCGATAGTTCCCACTACTAACTAATACATTAATGCGAGTGTCTAGTTTACCTTAATTTTTCACGGAAAATTTTTTCCATAGGGAAAATACTGCACAGCAGTTTTTACAACGATAACAAAACAATTATACATAACCACAAAAAACAAAGCGAATTTACGCCAAATGTCTGTCAACGTTGCCAACGTTTAGCCCAATTTAATGTTATCCTTATATTGCCTATTATTCCACTTATCCTTATTTATCTTTATATTTTACAAAATGTGGCAACAGCGCTAACTGATTCTTTCAAACTCACTGCTATCGTCCAGGGAATGCTAGCATTCACTAGTAAAAGTTGGTTTCAAAAATAGATGTTGAACTTTTACTGGCGTAGTCTTCGCAAATCAGTGAATGTGCGCTTTTACTAGTAATTGTTAACAATCACTGATTTCTAACTTTTACTGTAACATATATACCGGTTGTTTACAATATTCTCCGAGCACTGGCGGAGAATACACTAAGCCTATAGGATAATGAATTATAAATTATTTAAATCAATATTTAATAACAAAAATATAGATACGCTACTGAAATAGTAAAATTCACGGAAACTGCCATAAGCCAATTATTTTTTGACAAGTAGTAATACAAGAATAGAAACATATCATTACTCATAACATATATTACACAGGGTGTATATGAATATATGTGAAAAAATTCGTACAAGTACTTGCAAAAAAAAAGATTTTTTTGTATAATTTTTTTACTATGACCTTTTCAAGGGTTTGATTTTTTCCTTTACTTCGCACATTTACTTTTTTTTTTCTTTGCCTTTATTTTGAAAAAATTAAAGCTCATAATGCACAAATTGTCTTCCATAAATCAAAGGCGATAAAATGTAAAATCTAATATTAAACTCAAAATATCTAGCAAATAGTTGAGTGGCAAAAATGAAAATCAAAATATTATATATAAAAATAATACATACCTCTTGCCATACTCTCTGCGATTTGGCATAATTCACTCCAAGTTAATGTATGGCATTTTAGATAATCACAAAGAGAACCCTTTTCGTGGTAAGCTGTAATTAACCAAAACTCAGCTTGCAAGTTATCACCTCTCTTTTCAACACCTATGTAGTGAAGGATATTTGAATGGGCCATAAAAGGTATCTTAAATATTTCTTGTTCAGTTTGCCAAGATTGTTTGTCCTAGAATTAAAAACGGCATGGATGAAACAAAATCAATAATAATCATCAAAATTTTGGTGTGAATAATGTCCAACAAATCTTATTTCAAGAATTTTGATTTCAAGAAGTTTTTCAAACAAAGAATTCAATTATTTGTTACGTTGACATTGGAATAGAGAACCACGGGTCTAAAATCGGTAACAGTTGCATATATGGTTTTCGGCTATTTTTGGACTATATAAAAAAAAATTTATATACTTACATTCTATTGACCTTACAGATTTTAAATATGCTGGGGGAGAAGAGAAATTGTGTTTCTTTTTTTTTTGTTTGGTTGAAAAGTATTTTTTCAACCAATTTTATTGTGGAAAAAAAAAACCACCGGTCGCGCTTAAGGCGAAAATATTTAGGCAGTTCAAATATGGTACAAAGAATACAAGGTATGATATTGCGCAGGTTGGTCGCTACGTCACAGGTGATAACAGGCGCTATTGGTCAGCACGCTCCGCGCGCCAGTTCAAATCGTTAAGATATTGTTATAAACCTGTTTTTTTTTGTTTATATACCGTCATTGAATTATCGCTAAGCAAGTTACTGTGGAGCAGTGCATAAGGAGTCGGGCTAGGAAGCGAGAGACCGGAGTTCGAATCTCGGCCGGAACATCACTTTTTATTTATTTTTTTAAATACTGTTGTATTCTATAGTTTATTTTTGTAGTATAAAAAAAAAGAACTATTTATTCTGTTATTTTTTAATCTCCGTTATTAATATAAATTGATTGTTAGTACAATACCTCATTTAATATAAAATAATATTCTACTTTTTGAAATGTATCGGGCCCTAATTGTACCTAAAAGTAATATATTTTTAGTGATATACCATATTGTAAACTATATAATATTTCAGTCACTTAAAAAGTTAATTTGCATTGAATAATTGCCTACCATTAAAGGAAATTTGAGCAATATAACCCTTGATGGGCATATTCTGGGTATGCAAATACTTCCTTTAAATTTTGGGTGTCATTCAACCGATTTATTCTCAAAACCAGAAACATCTACATATAAAAAGAAGCACAGGTCACGAATTATAATAAACTCCACCCTTGGTATTACTTCCACTAATTATAATCTTCACCCTTGGAATTACTTCTATCACAATTACAATACGTTCATCTGCATTGGCATTTTCTACTTTTCGATGGGAAACAATAAACTTCCCAACATTTTTTAAATGATGTAACAATTCCTCTTGTGGTTACTTTTCCATAGATAAAGACTAAAAAGTCTTAAAAATAAACAATTCTTAACCATAACCTCAAAAATGCAGATCTCCTGTCAACTTTCTTTATTTTTTATTTATTCATTATTTTCCTAGTGACGTCACAGGTGGTATGCGCGAACTAAACGAAATTGGAGCCGCTATCGATCATACCTTGTATTCTTTGTACCATGGTTCAAATCAAATCAAGTCAGTTCTAACACGTTCTAATCAAATAATATGTACCGTCAAAAATCGAAAAAAGTTTTACTGGAATTTTAGTGGTTATTTAAACTTTTTATTAAAAACAATGATGGAATCAGGCCGTAAACCCTTTCATAAGTATATTGTTCCGATGCCAGATTTGTTTTCCAAAAGACATACATTCTAGAAGAACGATCCTACATTATTTCAAAAGTGATATCAAGTGCGAAACCTTAAAATGGAAAATACAACACAGCAAGATATTTAAAAGATTTATAGAGTTTGTGATTTACATTTTTGTAATCAAGATCGTACCTGGAATAAAAAGAGGTTTAGAAGTTAATTCTAAAGTTTTTATATACACCAGTTCATATGGGTAAGTATATGCATTTAGTTAAATAAAGAACGTTTTCAGATATTTTGATCTAATAAAATTAAAATAATCTTTTAGATGATCAACCTACTGGTAATTTGGTCCAGTGATGTCGATCCAGGTACAAACCCTGTATTTAAAGACAAACATTTGTTTAAAGACAAACATTGTAGAACTTGTTGGTGGACCACTCTCTCGTTGGTATTAGACATGTACTGTTACCTGAGATAAAAGCAGTAACTGAAAAGGGTAGGTACCTACACTGTAGGCCAAATTAATGTCACAAAATATTCAGTAATGAAGATGAACATTATTTTTAAAAAAATATCATATCAACTTTATAACAGAAAATATGTTAATTGAGCTGTAAATAAACAAGTTATGGCACTGGCTACTTTAATTTGGCAGAGAGTGATTCAATTATTGGATATTCCAAAGTTTATTAAAAATGTTAAATATGTATTACGAATCCAAACTGAATTTGGTTTATTAAAATTATCGTTTTAGATTTTTTAAATTGTATCTATCATTTTAGAGAAAGGATCAGAAAACCCAAATTAGGAATCTTCCAGAGTGCAGATAATGCAGTTTTTGTGAGTGAGGTATAAGATCTGTCTCTTGTAAGACCTCTTTTAAGAATTTAACCCAGGCAGTTGTTTACAACCAAGTTAGGTAATAATTAAAAAATATAATAAATGGAGCTCAAAAATGTAAATTTGCTTTATTAGCAATTGTTTTTGAATCCTGCTTATTTTTTTAAAAGGCATATAAACACCATAATTATTTCTTATGAAAAATAATGCTTGTGTTAACTTAAAGACTAAGATAAAAAGTTCATAGCCAATTTCTGTTGAGATTTTAGAGCCCTTCAACGGCATCAATTTTTAATTTTTACCTCCTATAAACCATACTCGAGGTTTTTTTGATGTATCACATAATTATACATATTTATTTATTTCAGATCTCAAGCATAGCCAAGGAATCGTACAACCTGTGAATTCAGTTTAATTACTGAGATCAAGGATGATGAAACATTCATTATGATTATACAGAGCTACAAAGAGTTATGTTGAGAATCCAAATTATCATAATGAATTCAGACGAGACAACACCTGGGTGGAAATTGAGGAAAAATGTAGATAAAAGGCATTTTTATATTAACGTTATGAATCCAATGTTTTTATCAAATCGTCACATAGATAATATTTCTAAAATTAAAAAGGTCAGGTTAAAACAACTTTAATTATCCATCGCGTGCGAAAAACAGTGCTTCGCATGGTTTCGGCTTCGGCGCGCTTCGCTCAAGTGCTCATCATGCTTTAAACTTTTGCGAAGCGCCAAAATGTCATTGGATTAATTGCATGTATTTTGATTCTTCGCGTTACTTCGCTTTAATCCGTTGGTCTGCATTTTTATACATAGATACCATTGATCCAATTCACATTTTTTCGCCGCGCTTCGAATAAGTTCGCGACAAAACTTTGTTAGTTGTATTTTATATTATTTAATGCTATTGTATTGATTTATAATTATTATTGTATTTATATGAACAAGTTAAGTATAGCAGTGCCGTGCGAGCCTTCGTCTGAAGAAGAAATTTTATTTATTGTATAATTTGTATTATTTACTTTTTTTAATAAAGTTATTACTAATAATAATTATTCAACATATCCACAGTTAATTATTTTTATTTTATTAACTATAGCTGTTTTTTCTATCTATTTCATATTTTTTGATGAGGATAAGTTAATTCTAAATGAAACGTCACCTGTTTGAGAACAATACGATATAATGGAGCGATGTCGCATTTAGAGTAACTTATTCTTATTAAAAAATAGGAAATAGAAGAAAAATAATCTATTTTCTGTACAAAAAAAAATAAATTACGTTCCAAAAATTGATAATAGATGGCGCTAGAGTCGACACAACAATATAGTTACCTGTAATTAAAATGTAAAGTTTCCTGTAAAATAAAATAAAATTGTATCATAAGTTGTGTAACGACCCGATGCATGGCGCCACTGAATTCTCCGACAGACGGTATCATTTCAGTTTCCTATATATTTTAGTTTGTATATGTTAACTATTAGATACCTGCGAAATTTCGATGCTGTCAATATGTACTCAACGTGCATCATACGCGCATCCAAAAATTGGTCAAGTGCGAGTCGGACTCGCGAACGAAGAGTTCCGCACCATTCATTATCTATACAACATTAGACACTATATTATTACAAACTTTTTTTCCGATTTAGCTGAAATTTTGAATGCGCGTATAAGTAATTTAAAAAAAAATGAAGAAACACATTACTAAAAATTGTATTAATCAATAATAAATATATAAAAAGTAAAAATAAATATTGTTACGGATTCCGTGGGTCCACTAATTTAAACTCACGATAAAATACTTAACGAATTTATTTTCTCACTTTATACACAATTACTAACTTATAACACACAACAAACTAACTATTTATAAGATTCCTTCACCAAATTGTCCGATTTTCAATTTCCACGCGGTATATTCAAATTTCAAAAACTGTCTCAGTTGTCGATGGCTCCGGCTTATATACTCTATTGACTGCTTCTCGAAATTTCCCAATTCTCGGAAAGCGTACTTCTTCATACCAGACAATTCTATTGTCTGATTCCCTTACTTCTCGACTTGACTAAAAGATGGCGCCTGAAAAAGTCTTTTTAATTTCTGGCGGATACGTTGCGGTTGTGCAGGCAACCAGTAATACATTTTTAAATTTCTGGCGGATGCGCCATTTTTCTTGACATTGCCCCCTTCTCAAATTTGATCGTCCCGATCAAGGTTTCCTGTCTGGTATCTCTTCAATCGATCCAGATGAACTACTTTCATCTTACTTCTAGGGCTGCGTTGAATCCGGTACACAACATCATTTATCCTCTTGATGACTGTATAAGGACCTTCCCATGCTGGAGTTAACTTTGGGGACCTCCCTTTCTTGCGCTGTGGGTTATATAACCATACCATATCGTCCTGTTGAAATCCCGTAGAATTGGCTCTGAGGTCGTAACGAGCTTTCATCCGGTCACTGGCTAGCGTAATCTTACTTCTTACGGCCTTATGAATTTCCATTAACCTTTCCTTCAGTTCATCCGCGTAGTCCTCTACATTTGTGGTGCCGTCGTCTGGTGATCCGAACACCAAGTCACA